GCTCCGTCACCCTCAGAGGGAAGAAGTTCTTCCTCGACGGAACTTCTCCAGGTGTTTGAAATACCTCCAGGGTTGGTGACTCCACCGCTGCCCTGGGCAGCCTGTGCCAGTGCTTGACAACCCTTTCAGTTCAGAAATTTTTCCTAATATCCAATCTAAACCTCCCCTGGCACAACTCGAGACTCTTTCCTCTCATGGTATCACTTGCTATGTGGGAAAAGAGACCAACCCCCACCTCACTACACCCTCCTTTCAGGCAGTTTTAGAGAGCAACAAGGTCCCCCCTCAGCCTCCTCTTCTCCAGGCTGAACAACCCCAGCTCCCTCAGCCGCTCCTCACAGGACTTGTGCTCCAGACCCTTCCCTGGCTCTGTTGTCCTTCTCTGGACGCACTCCAGCACCTCGATGTCCTTCTGGTAGCGCGGGGCCAAAGGCTGCGAGGAGCAGTGCTGCTCTCCAGCACTGCGCTGCCCGGAGAGACACGCGTGCACGAAGGCAGCTGTTTGCTTAGGGGGGTGGGGGGCAAAGGGGCCGTCTTTCAGCCGGCTCTGCAGGGGAATTCTCCGTGCATGAGCTTGCTTTGGGCTGGCCAAAGGAGCTGTGATGGTGGGAGGAAGCTGTCTCAAGGGATGGATGACATTCTCCTCCTGCCCGCAGATGACATACCTGCATGCCCGTATGAGGAAGGTGGAAGAGTCTGAGAAAGAGCTGAGTCGGCTGCGGGTGCAGGATGAGCAGGAGTACAGCAGCATGAAGGCCCAGCTGGAGAGCGATGTAGAGGTACGGAAGAAGGCTGGCCGGTGCCGTGTGGGGAGGCAGCGGAGCAGATCTCCCTGGGCTGGCTCTGGGGGGCAGCTGGACGGTGGGAAAGCTGCCCCTGGTACGAGGTCACCTCAGCTCTTCAGCGTGCACAGTCCAGCCCCGTGATGACAGCATGACGGAGGAGCTGTTCTCCCCATGGGTCCTACACCACAGTGTCCCTCTGCCCGTGGCTCTCAGAGCTCTGTAGCCCATGAACGGCGGCTCTAGGATGTATGAAGCACCTGGGGAGGTCGAGGGGTTTGCTGCTTCTGCAGTCAGGATTGACAGGAGGACTGAGGAGTGTGAGTGTCCTGACACCAGATCGTTTCAGATCAGCCTGTTCTCTTCCTTTGTCAGGCTCTTGGCCTAGGAGGTGTGAGCTTTTTCCTCTGCCATCTAGCCCTAGACCCAGGCTTTCTCTAGTGCCCACGCAGTCCCCTTGGTGTGAGAACTATCAGGAGCTTGCCCTTGCTCGGGCAGCAAGGCATGCCGTGGAGGAGCACAGCCCTGGCACGGCGCTGGCTGAACAAGCCCCAGGGGCTCTCACTGCAGACCCAGACCTCAGAGCCGTGGCTTCCCCAGGGTACGGATGTCTTTCAATCCGCTGCATCCTCGGCGAGCAGCGGTGTCGACAGAGCGTGCGTCTGCGGCTCTCTGCAGCCCTGCCGGGCCCCGCACGGCAGCCCCGGCGCTGGTTCCGGCTTTGCCCAGCGTCCTCCGGCCTCCTCTGCTCTGCGCTGCCACCGCTGCCACCGTCCCTGCTGGCTGTCGTGTGTTGTTCCCCAGGCTGCAGGGCAGAAGGAAGACATGTTGCATTTGGACTTCAGCGAGGCTCCTGGTTTGTCCCGTGGGACGTCCTCCGAGGAAGCTGAGGGAAATGCAGGCTAGGGACGAAGTCTAGAAGGTTTTGCACCACTTTAGGGGAAATATTACTGTCGCGAGGTCCTGTCGGCTTGCAAGGGCATGTCCAGGGAGGGCAGTCCTGACTCTGCGCGCTCCTCACCTTCGTGTTGATAACCTGGAGGGTGCCACAGAGTGTGCAACGTTGGCAGATGGCTCTGAGCCGTTTGGGGAGGGAGGGGGCAGCACGCTGGAGATGAAGGTTCGCAGACGGCGGTGTGGGGCTGTTGTAAAAGTGCACCGGCTGCCTTGAGCTGTAGTTGTGGGAAGATGCATATATAAGGCAGAGAGGTCATTATTCCTCTCTGCTTTATAGCTACGTGTCCTTGTCTGGGTTTGGTAACACGCTTGGGGACAGGGGAGAGTCTGGAACAGCCCAGGGGCTTGGACCAGGAAAGAGATTGCTGTAGGGAGGTGGTAAGTCTACAGATATGCACAATTCTGTAGGATGGAGGGGGAGAATGGCTTCTCCTCCGTGTCCACTGTAGATGGAAGGAAAAACCATGGGGCTGCGTTTTGGTAGGGAAGATTTCAACTGGCATTCAGATTTAGGGTTGAAATTTCAAGCTAGGAAAGCCCAGCAATGGGAAGGACTTGCTTGATGGTGAGCCTGAACGACTGTCCCCTTGGTTTGCTGCTCTTTGAGGCAGGGTTTTAGGAACAGCTTAACTCAGCTCCTGCTGGGGCCGATTTGGTGAGGTTGTTCCATCTGTGGGGCAGAGGGATGAAGTAGGTGTCCTCCTGGTTCCCTTTAGCACTGCACTTGTGGAACCGTGTATAGCACAGACTTCACCCTTCCAGTTTGGGAAGAGCAAGAACAGAGAAGCTGGAAACCCCTGTTTTCCTGATGAACCTGTGACATCGTTGTCCCGTGGTATCTCTGAAACAGGAGCTCAGCCAAGACCTAAAGTTGGAGTCTGTGATTTGGGGGGTTACTGAGTGCTCCCCAGTTTCACTAGATGGGAATCAGCATTTTAAATACAGGGTTTGTGCCGTGGTCTTCCTCCATCTGCTGCAAGGAGAAGGTCCCTTGACCCCGCTGGGATTTACCTCCATCTTTTCTTCTGTCAAGCTTTGATCCTAGCCAGGTGGGACTGCTTCTGGGTGTCTGTCCAGGCTGTCTGTACACTCCCTCCTCCATGGCATCTGTGGAGCGAAGGGGAGAGCTCACTGCCTCCCTCCTGTCCCCCAGGCTACGCAGGGAGATGCTGCCATCGCAAATGCTTCAGTTCTTTGTTTTGTTCTGGTTCCCTTCAGCCCTGGTGTTTCTGCGGTCACTCCTCCTGTGTGTCCCTTCCTCCAGCTCACCAAGTAACTTCTGAGGCTCTTGGTTAAATCAGAACAGGCAATTCCTAAACCTGACATGAAAATCCGCAGCCAGGGTGAGGAGAGACGCCCAAATTAGTGCCCCACTGAGTGAAAGCTGGGTGCATCTTCAGTCTGTTCTCCCTTCCCCAGGCACGGCCCTGTAGCTCATACTTATGGCCAACCAGCATCTCCATCGCTCACCCACGAGCGATGCCATGTGGCCGAGGGTCAGCTCGGGAACTGTGAGTGGGAAGACGGGGTGTGGAGATGCAGGACCAGTGGGATCCAGGCTTCAGTGCGGCCTTTGCTCACGGCACGGCTTGTTCTCGTGTTTTTTGAAATGCCAGAACCTGGAGAGGCAGCTCCACCACATGAAATCTGCGGAACCAGGAGAAGCTGGAGTACAACCTGCAGGTGCTTGAGAAGCAGGAGGAGGAGAACACCGTCGTCAGGTCCAAGCAGAAGAGGGAGCTCACCCGGTAAAAATCCATCCCTGGAAGCTGTGTTCTGCCTTCCCTTCCACCACCTCCCATGTGCCATCGCTTGTGGAGCCCGTCACCTAGCACAGGGCACCGAGCTGCGTCCCAACCCATCCCTGGGCAGGGGCAGGGGTTGGCCTGGGGCAGGGCCGTCCCCAGAGCGCTTTGAAGAGGCTGGCCGTGGCCAACCTGTGCCGGCTGCATCGGGGTCAGTCAGGCCTTGGCTCTGAGCAGCCACCAGCAGATGAGCAGCCCCAGGTCCCAAAGCCTTCACACAAGCTGGGTACGCCCGAAGGTGCCTCTTTGGGGGTGCCCAGCTTTGCTGTCCCTCCCCAGGCTCCTCAGCCTGCTTAGCAAGCTGAGAACGAAACTGGAAAACCAAGAGAAGCGGTTCCGAAAGGAGACCCAGAGCCTGGCAGCCGACTGCGAGCGCATCACCAGGCAGTGCCAGGAGCTGCAGAGGAGGATGAGGTGGGGTGTGCGCGGGCATCCTCCCCTGGTGAGACCTCGGAGCAGCTCCGTGAGCTGCGGGGGGAGCTGACTCGTCACTTTGGGGCACGGAGCCTCCTTCCATGGGCCCTCTGCCTTCTGCACAGGCACTTCGCTGCCAGCGACGCTGAGAAGTTCACGGGGATCTGGCTGATGAACGAGGCAGAAGCCAAAGGGCTGATGCGGAAAGCCCTCGATGCAGATCGCATCATCCACACCCAGCAACTGGGGCTGCCCTGGGAAGAGCCTCGTTACTGGTTCCTGGACAACGTCGGCCCCCTCGGGCATCACGCGGGTGCTAGGACGGTGACCAAGCTGGCTGCGGAGTTCCTAACAGGTGGGATGCACAGTGCCCTCGTCACCCTTGTGGCACTGGGAGACCCTCGCCTTCCTCGTGACAGCCCCTCCTGCCACTCCTGGCCTTGCATTGCAAGGTGGGGTCTTACAGGGGTGACACTGCGAGCCCAGGCAGGGGCTGTCCCCAGCCCTGAGCTGGCTCATGCCAAGCCAGCTTGGGGATCTTTGCACCGTACTTTGCCCAGTGCTCCCAGTTCCAGACAAGCTGACCAAGAGCCAGCTCGTGTCCCAGCGCCTTCGGGGGGCTTTCCCGGTCGCAGGGAACAACTGTGACTTCCCTGGTGACTCCTGCAGCGGTGTGACCGTGAGCACAGTCGAAGCACAAAGGCTTCTGCTCACCCTGCTTTCTCCATGTTTCAGCGAGCAGCTCCGAGGGACAGGAGGAGGAAGGGAGAGAGGAGGAGAAGGAAGAAGTGGGCAGTGGAGAGGGAGGCAAGGCAAACCCAGCGAAGGCTGAGGACAGAGTCACCCCTCTGCGAAATATCTCCAAGAAGACTGCCAAGAGGATCCTGGAGCTCGTGAGCGAGGAGTCGGTGCGTGACGCTGCAGCACACGCCTTGCTCAGGGAGCAGGCGTGCTGTCCCCTGGGTGCCCCAGCTTGTACTGGATTCCTTCGGAGCTCCACGTCTTGGGGCGAAGGCTTCTGCACGGCACTGCCTTGCTCTGCCATGCAGCCCGTTGCCAGAGAGCTGCCCCAGGGGCCGGGAGAGGATCTCCAGGTCTTTGGGCTGTGTGTGGCACATGTCCAATGCTGATGATGGGTATGGGCAGGCACAGCCCCGTTGCCCCAGCCCACAGCTCCCCAGGCCAGAGGAAGCTGAGGCGAAGCCGCTGCGTGGTGCTCCGGGCTGCTGCCCGTCTCTGGGGACAGTCAGCGCCAGCGTCAGATCACGACGTCCCTTTGGCATCGCCGCGCTGACGACTTCGTCTTCCCCGTCTGCTGGGCGGCTGTCCCGGAGCCTCCCGGCCCTGGCAGCCCCACGCTG